GGGAAAGAGAGAACTTGAAGAATGAAAAGCATTCTTATTCAAGAGCATGTAGTATTATACATTTTCTGCATATCATCCATATATATATTGATCCTAAATAGACCTGGTAGAGACTATTTCGTTGGATACTATTAAATCAGTGCAACTTCCTAGACACAAATACTTATGAACACATGCATCTTAATCTTATCATGTGACACACTAACATAATGTTTCCTAAGTGCGTTAACTATTATTATTTCCAGCATATTTGATCAAAAGCCTTGGGATTTGTAGGCCTCTAAAAGAAGGAAAACATAGTCAATAATTTAGTTTTCATTAGTGTGCTGCAGTGGTGTCGTGGAAACATTGGGATAAAAATAGTGGAGCAGTTTTTGATAGCGGCCATTGCAGCATTTTGCATGCTATAGAGTTTCAGAAGCCTTGTTTGAAATTTTATTCATGCAACATGCACTGCTCTCTCCCCTGTTTCATCACAAACCACCAATACCCTGTGCTTACAAGTTCTGTTTCTGGCCAAGCCTGGTGGTTTTTTTTGGCAAAACCCAGTCATAATCACAAATCTTGATTCTCTAAAGTGAGGAGTTGAGTTTTTGAGGATAAAGTACACTCATAATCATCGATTAGAAAATCAACAGTTGAAAATTGTTATAAAATCAAATATATTTATAACAAACTGTTGTTAGTTGCAATCTCAATCTCTGATTTTCTAATTAATTGTTATTACTGAACTTTATCCTTTAAAGTGCACTCCTCTCACTTTAGAGGAGTCAAATCCCCTATCTGCTTTTTTTTTAGCATTCACTCTGTTTTGTTGATTGTTTGCACGTCCTCTACTCCTTTTAGTTCTAATGTCTTGAGAAAGGTTCATGATCTTAATCAGCCTTGATTCTGTCACTCACACCCTTGTGCTTCTTCTTTTTTTGTGTGTCATAAGTCCTCATTCTGTTATCTTGCTGACACCATTTTTTCTATATGTGTTCTGTTCTGATTTTTTTTTCTTCAAAACTTTGATGGTCACCCTTGAAGTAGTTGTAGCATCACCCACTTGGAGGCTTAAACTTGTTTAGTTTCTTGAATTTTGCTCTATTGTTAAGATTACATCATACGAAATTCAATAACATGAGTTTTAAGAACTTATTTTCAAAGCATATGAATGAGAGTTTTCAAATTTTCAAGAAATTCTACCTTTTACAGCTTCACTAACATCATTTTGTAATACTGAGACATATCTGGCTGACTGATAAAATCAATTTATATTATTATGTGAAAATAATAATATATGGGTAGGGTAATGGTCTGTGAATGTCCATCCCCGAGTTTTATAGGCATTTTTTTTTGTAAATAATTAAAGTTTTATTTTCCTGTCAAAAGTGGTATATGTTGTCTCATAGGATTGTTTTACATTGCAAATGTTTTGTGTGGTAGGTCTATGAGAATACAGAGGTTAAAAAACGAGTAGCCTTATCAAACCCATATGGGAACTGGATCAAGGAAAATTTGCGGTCTTTGAAGCCTGGAAACTTCCTTTCAGCTTCTGTGATGGACAATGATGCAGTATTAAGACAACAACAGTGAGTTCTATTTAGACATTACTCTTAGTTTTATCCTTGATGAGGGAATGTTTGTTTTCAAGTATTTCTGTTTATAAGTCCTATCAAACCTATTGCTTTACTCTCTGCTATTGCTTAAACATTCTGTGTGGTTCTCTATTCTTTTTCTTGATCTTTATGAGATGATTATAAATTGCGGTTTTGGATAAAGTTGTGATCTAAAATAATGAAATGAACTCATTTTGGAGTGAAATATTCTTCTGTTGGAAGTAGGAAAAAAAGGATTTTTATGCGTGGTATTTTATCTTTTTAAGATTGAGAACTTGACTACCCAACACGTTCTTCGTGATGGATGTAAGAGTTGAAAATATATTTGGGATGTAAAAATAAGATAGGATGTCAACTTTCAAGGATGAACTGGTGTCAAACAAAGGGCAAAAACCAAAGGAGCCTTCAGCAGAGTTATGGAGGAATGTCGTTTGGAGGCCATAGGAAGTGCGAAGTTATGTGGGACAAGATGGCCAAAGGGATTGGGAAGGTGGATAAAGAGACTCACAGTAAATCAAAAGGCTGGGAACCTAAGGGTAGAGAATTTTGGTGGTGGTATGCAAGTGTGCAAGATAAAGTTAAGGTCAAAAGAAATTGTTACGAAGCATTGTTTTGGTGTAAGAATGCAAAAAATTGTGAATTACCATTTGATACATGTCACGGCATTTAATGGTGAGATTTCGGAGGAATCAAAAAAATTTACATATGGTCTTCACTGAATTGGAATAGGTGTAATGTCAGGTGGCAAGAGACAAATTGTGTGTAGGAGGTCCTAAAGAAGAAAGTAGTTTGCATTGCATTTATAATATATTCACACAATTAAGGACATGTATGAGGGTGGGAACAAGGAAAAGATTCTCTCAAGTGGAAAAAAAACTTGAGATTCTCAAGTTTAAAATCTCACCCTTAAATCTTTTACACCTCCAATTTATATTATATTCATTCTGTTTTTGAATGGCTAGGATCTCATTCAGTGGAAATATCATTAGATAGGATCTGTTCCCTGGGAACATGATAGGATTGCAACAGGTCTTCCTATTACCATAGTAATCCATCAAGATTAGCTTCCACCCCTTGTCTCTGTACCGCAGTCTTGTTTGTGCTTATTATCGTATTGAAGAGTCAGTTCCACAACGCTTACTTTTTGCATATATATAGTTGTAATTGCAGAATCAAGAGAGGAAATAAATGGAAATTTAGAGATATGGAGTCAACAAGAGAATAAACTTAATGTCACAGAGATGAGAATGTTGCATTTGATGAGTAGGTACTGGGTACACTAGACAGGATAGAATTAGGAATGAATGCATTGGAGAAAAAGGGTAGTTCATTTGTTGGAAAAGATTATAGACACCCGCCTTAGGTGGTTTAGGCTTGATATGTAGAGAAGACTTATAGAAGACCTAGTAAGGAGAGTGGATCAAATGGAGGGTAATCCCATCACTAGTAGCAGAGGGAGATCAAGAAAAACTTGTAAGTGAAAGCATTAAGAAAGATTTTGCAGTCATTAGTTTGTCTATAGACAAGACTTGGGATAGGGCATCATTGCATTGCTTGATTCATATAACAAACCTTACCTGGTGGAAATTATTATTGTTGTTGTTGTCTCATTTTATAAAAATCAACTTGAGTGGGTTGTGACTGGTTTCCATAAGCTAATGCTGAATGTCCTACAAGCTAATGTTCTAAGGCATGTTGATGGGATAGTATGTTTTCTTTTTATTGCAGTTTACAAAATCTCACATGGTTGTTACTTTTCTTCTTTTTGGTGCTACCAGGGCATTTGGGTACTCTAGTGAAGATGTCCAGATGGTGATTGAGAGTATGGCTGCTCAAGGAAAGGAGCCCACATTTTGCATGGGAGATGATATTCCATTGGCAGCTTTGTCCCAGAAACCTCACATGCTTTTTGATTATTTCAAGCAAAGGTTTGCACAGGTAAGCTAGAGTATTTTCCTACAATTTAATTTTGATATTAATTTGTTCTGTGATCTGATGTAGTTTTTCTATTGTAGTGCTAAGTTACTTATCTCATTACGTCTTGATCATGTTTACTTTTTAATATGTGTTATTGTTTGTTCACAATGTCATGGGATACATGATATCATCGTTTGTCTATGGTATTCATTTATGTCACTGCTTAGGCTCTATGCATATCCCTATCTGTTTGTGTGTGTCTATATCTCTGAACTCATTCATAAATCAACTGGTTAAGCTTTCTTGATCTCATAGATTAATACACTCTTTTTTTTTATCTCGTTTTCTGTGTGCATTTGTTTGAGAATGATACATTGTCCTTTTCTTACTTTTGTTTTGTGGGGCGTGGGGTGGGGTGGAGGACACTTAGAAATCTGTTTAGGTGCAAGGTCCTTCTATTATTCATCACTGAAACGTTGAGCAGTGCATGTTGAATGTTTCATAGCTGATCTTGTGGAAGCAAATTATGAACTTAAAAAGTAATGGACATGGTCAGTGGAATTTTGGATGCCTTGGCATTCAGGTATAGTTTATGCAATGGAACATGTCTTGTGCACTGTTGAAGGATGACAATAGGTTGCACTCAAGAATGGATGTACACATTCCCACTTAAAACCGTGTCTTGAGTCATTACTAAAAGACTCCCACTTAAAACCACATGTTCCATTGCATAAGTTAAACCACGTGCATGCATTCTCTAAAAGCTTATTTAATGCATTCAGGTAATACTTATGCAATGGAACATACCTTGTGTACTGTCAAAGGATGACATGAACAAAATTTGTGTGATTCGTTTAAGCAGCCGAGGACTTTGATTAGAATTAGAGTTGGATGGAGAGGGAAAGGTGGGTATGGGGTTGGGTAGGTGTTTAGGATAAGGGTTTCTGTGGGAGAAACACATCTCCTACCCCCAGAAATCAGATATCAGAATTCAAATTCTATGTTGAAAATAAACATTGGAAGATATCTTTTAAAAATTCTACCTCCATCCCTAGTTATAAGACCCTTTCAACTAAATTACACCCTTTAAGAAAATTAGTTAATTTAGTTAAGAGCATTAATTTTTTCAATATTTTAAACTACTTTTCCAAAATTAACCTTCTGTTTTTCTACTTAATCATTTCCCATCTAATTAATTAATGTTTGGAAGAGAGAGATAACTATGTGTTTATTTATCTTCTCCAATCTTAATACAAGAGAGAAAGTTTTTATCCAATTAATTTCAAGTATTTATTATATTTTGTCTAAATGAATTTCTTATTAAATAAGGGTATTTTAGAGAAGATATAATTGATGCAACTGACAATTAGAAGAGAGTCTTATAAAAAGGACAAACAAAAAAGTAAAAAGGGTCTTATATATAGAGACGAAAGTAGTACTTTACTGAATATTGTTCTGTGCGAAAAATCACTTTTTATATACTCCGTCTGTTCTCTATTATAAGCAAAAAAGACTGATTTTACTCATATTAAGAAAGTCAGTTATTTGCATTAAATTTTACTACTTCCATAATATTCTTCCTAAGTTGTCCTTGTTATAAATGTCAAAAGCAGAGTTTTAAAAACCGGCTTGGACCGGTTGAATCGGAAACTGGTGGTTTAGCCAGTCCAAGTCTTGAGTTGGATCGGTTATGCATTTGATCCGTTTCAAACTGGAGTGAATCGGTTAATTTTCCGGTTCGAACCGATAGGTCAAACCAATTCAACTGCAAAAATATTTTTTTTTATCACTTCTAAAAAGAAATTTAAAGAAAAACACATGGGAATTGAATCCTGCTCATGGAAAAGCAAAGAGCCTTCTCAAACATAAGGATGACCACTTGTTCTAATGTATTTGTTTGTAATATATGCAACTTAAATAACTTTTATAGTATATTATTAATTTTAAATTATATATTTAATAATATAATATCTATGTAGATATTACATATATTATTTTGTAATATTAATTGCAAGTATATTATATATACACATTATTTATATTTTTAATTTGTATTAATATACAGTTTAACATGTAATTTTTTTTATGTATTTTTTTATACAAAATAAAAATAAAGATAATTTAAAATAGGATGGAAATTGAAATTTAAAATAGGATATGAATTTATTGAAATTTATAAGTATAAAATATATTTAACATGAATGTTTGTTTTTAAACAATTAATAAAAATTGGGTCATGTGATTTAATTAGTGATTCACCGGTTCACTCTTTGACCCACTGTCCAGTACCCTAACTGGTTTGATGACCGGTCCGGTTTTTAAAACTATGGTCAAAAGTAGTGCAACTGAATAGTTATGCATTAAAAGAGAGATATTTTAGGAAAAGAATTATTAAATGAGGTAAAAGTAGTTGAAATTTGCTTATATTTAAGAATAAAAAATGTTTTTTTTTTGTTTATAATAAAGAACAGAGGGAGTACTTCACAGGACCCTTTTAATGACTGGACTTGGTAGACTAAATTTAAGACTGTTAACTACCCATAATTAATTGGGCTCCCAATTATAAAGGTGCAATTTTCTAAGCTTCATTAACTTATCAAATGCAGATAACCATAAACACTTTAGCAGCTCTAGACATAAGTACAATGACTTTTGTGTAAATGAAATATCTATAATTCTATGGCACTTAATAATTATTTTTCTACATCATTCCTAGATGTATAGAATCTCCAAATTAGTGAGCAAGGTTGGCCATATATGCGGAAAAAGACTAGTCTCTTGCATCCTGACTTTTTCTAGCTTCTGTTTATTCTGATTTGACAGACTCATAAAAGATGGCACAACTGAGATAGGGTTTAATATACAGACTTACAGAACCATATTTGGAAATTATGCTTGGTGTTGTATAAGTTTTTGGTTTGAATTTTACCTTTCTTATTGACATTTGCATGTAAAATCTCTCTCTTTAACACCTGATGCCGCCACCCCACTTTTCTGCATTTTCCAAAGTACAGGTTACAAATCCTGCAATTGATCCTCTTCGAGAAGGACTGGTTATGTCTCTTGAAGTGAATATAGGGAAGCGAAGGAATATATTGGAAATTGGGGCAGAGAATGCTTCACAGGTATTTTAGCATAAATCTTTAGTATCTAGTTTTTCATTGTCATATAACACCCATGATTTTGTTGCCTATTCTTGCCCACGGGATAATGATATGTTTTGGAGCAGGTTATGTTATCTAGTCCAGTGTTGAATGAAGGGGATCTTGAGTCATTACTAAAAGACTCCCACTTAAAACCACAAGTGTTACCGACATTTTTTGATATAACCAAGGGCATTGAAGGTTCCCTGGAGAAAGCATTAAATAAGCTTTGTGAAGCTGCAGATGAAGCTGTCAGAAATGGTTCTCAGCTGCTTGTTCTCTCAGACCGTTCAGAAGCACTGGTAAGGACCATCTAGATACTTGGCTACTTAAGTTGTCCTTTACTTACCTAGACATGGCTTCAGATGTATCAACCTCCTAGATCCTGTACTTGGCTACTTGAGTTGTCCTGTCCAACAATTGTTCATCTCTTTACCATCCTCAGATGGCTACACCCTTGCAATATCTGTTTCGAAGGCACAGAAAACCAACTCTGAAACACTGCCTAATTCTCCCCTGCCCAGACATGGAGTGTTACTTTTATCTTGGAAAATGATATATTACTAGAGAGAATAAAGGGAGTTGAATATCACGCACATGATTACATGGAGGAATGTTGGAAATACTTTTTGGCCCTAAATTCCGTGTCTCCCTAAATTACCTGTTTCCACTCTGGGAGCTACATGAGATTTCACCTAATAATAGAATGACAAACAGTGTGTTTGTAAGACTACTTTCATTATGTGAATAAATATTTTTCATATTTGTGTATCACTTTGGCATTTATGTTGAGGTAATGATCATACCTGAAGATTATGAATAGCTGCCAACTGTCTTTTTTCATTGTAATTCCATTTGTACAGTTGGACTTGGATGTTTAATTGACTTTTAATTTATTCATATATAACGAATATCTAGTGTTAGGAGCTAATCTTGGCCATACATTTCTGGCGTGAAGATTGTTTCATTTTAAGAAGGTTGATGCTCCATTATAATTGTATGGTCATGATTATCTCCTATCATGAGAGCATGAATTCCGATACGCTTCATATATAGTATATACTGCATATGTGTGTTTGAGCTAATATTGCATTCCCTTCTTTTTGGTCCTAGGAACCAACTCATCCTGCAATTCCAATACTTCTTGCTGTTGGTACTGTTCATCAGCATCTAATACAGAATGGCCTGCGGATGTCAGCTTCAATTGTAGCAGATACTGCTCAATGCTTTAGCACTCACCAGTTTGCCTGTTTAATAGGATATGGTGCAAGGTTATTTAATGCCCTCACTTAAGTCTCTGTTAGATGTAGTGTTTCCGTTACTTCTTTATCCCTTATTTTAATTTTAATCTTATATTAGGAGTTGTGTTTTGTGATCTAATTTCTCATTTACTAGTCTCTATTTATTTTAGGCCTGGTATTGATTGAAGTTTTTTTTTTTTTTTATAACTTTTTTTTCTTCCTGTTTCCTTGTTTGTTTGCCAGTTTAGGGTAAAGTTGTATTCTTATATTTGTCATGAAGCCATTTTCCCATTTAAACATGAATAAATTTGAAATTCTTCTTTCCACACTGAACAATTGTTTATTGGTGTTATTGGAATTAATTCTACTTTGCATAAGTTTGTCGTAGCAATGGAAAATGGGAAACATGCCTTGTTAAACCCACTTAGCTCTTCTTGAGCATGGTGTGATTTATCTGTTCTGTTTGTTTTAGTGCTGTGTGTCCATACTTGGCATTGGAGACTTGTCGGCAATGGCGTTTGAGTAATAAAACTGTAAATCTGATGAGGAACGGGAAGATGCCTACTGTATCGATTGAACAGGCACAGAAGAACTATTGTAAGGTTAGTGATCTTCAAGCCAATATTTTGACTTTATTTCTGAGCTGGAAGTAATAAGCAAAATTTTTTGTATGTCAATCTGTAATGGTGATGGCTATGTATATGCCATGGTAAATATTGGTCCTTAGACAAACACAGGAGTGCTGCATCTGGTTGTAATCACTCACTAATGGGCCAGATTGTCTGAACTTCAAAAAAAAAAATATTATAATAAAGGTATTTTTAAAAAAGTATTATTTTAAGAAGCCGATACAACTTGCATCTTAAAAAAAAGCAAAAATAAGTTGAAACAAAGGGAATAAGTTTATGTGAGATTGAAGGGAAATTAAAGATAAATGTTCTGTTTGGATAAACTTCTTTATAAACACTTATAGTAGACATCTTTTGGTTAATTCAACTGTCAGATCATCTCAGTTCTACCTCTGCATATATATGTACTTTGTAACAGAGGTGAACATTGATTGTAATTGCTCATTCAATTCAATAGGATAATATTCTCTTTTACAAATTCATCTAATTTTTATTAAAGGAAATAGGGGAATCTAAACATTTTAATAGGGAAAGTTGGAAAGAAAATAAAATGTATACTAATACTTAAAATAAAAGGGAGATTCTATTCTATTTTCAACATTAGGGAATGATGGAAAAGCAAAAATGTGAAAACTGAAAATTTGGTCTCTGAATCTGAATGATTGATATTATTTTGATATGATTTGACGATACACTAATCTAGTATACATCTTTCTTTTATATTAATAATCTCGGTCAAATACAAGTATAATACAAGTAATACTAGCCCAGCCCTGTAAGACTACTAACATAACAAGACTCAAAATACAAGAATTGGATATTCAAACAGGGACCTTTAACTGAAGGAACTTTTTCCTCCTTCACAGTGTTTTTCCCCCTATTTGTTAATAAATTCCTCTTTATTTTTTTCAAATATAATTGATGACATAATGATTTGCATTTTTGCCTGCATTTCAGGCTGTAAAAGCAGGTCTTCTTAAAATTCTTTCCAAAATGGGCATCTCATTGCTTTCAAGGTATGTAGCTCATGAAATAAAGTAGTTATAAAGGGAAACTAATGCAGTAATGCTAGAGAGTGCTGGCATAATCTTTTTGTAGTTTGTCTATTGTTTTAATTTTTTCTTCTCTTCTTTCCTTACTGATGTTCTGCTTTTGACAAATCTATTTTTCTATTCCTTGTTTAGTTACTGTGGTGCACAAATATTTGAAGTCTATGGATTAGGAAAGGAAGTTGTTGATATTGCATTCAGAGGAAGTGTGTCGAAAATTGGTGGATTAACTTTTGATGAGGTTAGGACATTACAGACTCAAGCCTGAGAATGAAAATGTAAATTGTCTTGATAATTTACTAGCAATATAAGCATCAGTTCATTGTGCCTGATAACAGTCAGTTATCATCGTTGTACTTGTTATTTGTTAAAGCTTACACATTGCTCAGATCATCATTAGACCTTACTTTTCTTTTCTTTTTTCTCTCAGAACATGTTTTCTGTTTGAAACATTTATCTTATGTATCATTTTTGCGAATTTATCAGTTTCAAAAAAGAACATAGTTACAAGATTATCTGGCATGCAGTTTGGACCTGCATGGTATTCCTTTTTGATGTTATATGAAAATATATTACATGTATAGACTGGTCTGGATATGCTTCATTGTCTTGATAAAATTTGCACTACAGGTTCCTTTGTATTAAAGCTAATCTAGATTGTACTTTAACCTGTTATGGCATTTGACTATTTTGAATCCCTGGGGATGTAAATATGTATGATTTGGATATCAACTTTTTATAATAAAGTGGAAAGCTCAGTAAATAATTGATGAGGGTCTCTTAACAGTATTAGAATTCCAACTCAGAGAGAGAAAGATTTTGAAGGAACTCATATATCTCTATTATGATTTAGAATACAAGAAACCAAGTATTTATTGGAAGGATTACACGCAGTTCAGTTGTAACTAAACTCTAACGGAAAACAAAGAAAAGATACAATACAGCATGTCTCTATAGAAGAGCATGCGCCTGCACTACTTAAAGCAAAATAAAGCTATATTATTATAACAGAATTATAGTATTCTAACAAACAGACATTGGATTTCGATATCATCAAGTCTGCATTACCAGCAGGTGCAGCTGTACATTTTTCTGTTTTAATTCAATAACTATTTAATGATTATGCACAATGGATCCTTCAAAATAACTACTCACATGCAGTAGTTGCTCTAACAGCTAGACTTTAATACTTACACTCAGTCATCCTGAGCTTATAAAATCTTGTGTATGTGGACACCCTGGGTGCAATTATGCACTATTTCTTTTGCACAAGAATTTGTGAATATGCATTCATTTACTGAGTGTGCGTCACTGCATCAGTACAAGAATGGCCATGTGTTGAATACTTGAGTTAACATTTTAATGGATATTTCTTAATTGAAACTTCACTCCTACATCTCATATGGTGCAGGTGGCAAGAGAGACTTTGTCTTTCTGGGTTAAGGCATTTTCTGAAGATACAGCTAAAAGGTTGGAAAATTTTGGATTTATACAGTTCAGACCAGGAGGTATGAGTTTGGTGCTGATTCTCATTAAGATTTGAAAAATCAGTTAACTTTTTTTTTTTTTTTAGAAAAACATAATGAGTGTTATTGTTTTATCAATGAAATTGCATTTGTAGTAGTGTTCTTGGTACAGTAAAATTGACTGATTTTGATTTACAATTTTAAAGGGGAATATCATGCAAATAACCCAGAAATGTCAAAGTTGCTCCACAAAGCTGTTCGTCAGAAAAGTCAAAGTGCCTTTTCAGTTTATCAGCAGTATTTGGCTAATCGACCCGTGAATGTGATTCCTGAAAATCCTATTTTCAGACTGTTATTATACATTTTATTACAACAGTATTATGTGATATATATTGTTCATTTCAGGTTCTCCGTGATCTTCTTGAATTCAAAAGTGATCGTGCTCCAATACCTGTGGGGAAGGTTGAACCTGCTACATCTATTGTGCAACGGTTTTGCACTGGGGGCATGTCACTTGGAGCTATTTCCAGAGAAACTCATGAAGCAATTGCAATTGCCATGAACAGAATAGGTGGAAAATCAAACTCAGGGGAAGGTGGTGAGGTAACATAACTTTGATCATAGTATAACTGTCAGTAAAGATATATTCATATTCAGTAACAGACAATTTTTTTTTTTTTGTATTTTTAATTTTCTTAACCTTTTCATTTTCCAACTATGACCTAATTCATGTATTGCATTCAGGATCCTATTAGATGGAAACCACTTACAGATGTCGTTGATGGTTATTCTCCAACTCTTCCACACCTTAAAGGTCTTCAAAATGGGGATACTGCTACTAGTGCCATCAAGCAGGTTATTGCCTAAAATTTTGAAAAATACCTTCATTAACTTTGTTGACAATAATAATGTTATTTTATAATTTTGTAATGGTGGAAAACTCATTAAATGAACTATATTTTATTTCTTAGGCTTTATTTGTTTTTTCGCTAGTCAAATTATTTAACCATTTTATAAAATCTTTATATCATACAGCTTTCTAGAAACTCTCATTCTCTGTTGAATGTGCGCAATTAGTCATTCAAATTAAATACTGTGATCTGATTTGTTTAGCTGATGCCTTGCAATCATGATTTTAACTTGGTCATGAATTAGTGTCCAACTTTTCCTGTTACCAGTGCCATGTAACAAAACACCATTAGTTGATGATCATTAATTATTTTGGGGCTTTTCTGCAAATGCAATAAGCTTGGTAGGGCTGCCATCATATGATCACCTTCCTGCTGTATTAGTTGAAGAATCCAGGTGCAGGAAAGGAATATATCAAGTTATCAACAAATTTTTTAAGTAGGCTAGGTTATCATGCCTCACATAATTTTCTTTCGGGGTGTGATTTACATTTGGTGGACCAAATAAGTATTCATTCTGGTATAAATTCATGATTACGAATTTAGTTCTTGATCCAATTGGATGGTGAGCAAACCTCTATATTCAATCAATCTGGCTGATTTAAGTAGTATTTAATCTAAAATTGGTCGGTCCAAAAATAGCTCGTCTTATAGAAATTGTGGTAGGTAGTGGTAATCTGATAAAATATATTGCATTTTTTCAGGTTGCTTCAGGAAGGTTTGGTGTCACCCCGACATTCTTGGCAAATGCTGATCAATTAGAAATCAAGATTGCACAAGGTGCAAAACCTGGTGAAGGTGGACAATTGCCAGGGAAAAAAGTTAGCATGTATATTGCAAGATTGAGAAATTCTAAACCAGGAGTTCCTCTTATATCTCCACCACCTCATCATGACATTTATTCTATTGAGGACCTTGCTCAATTGATCTTTGATCTTCATCAGGTGACACTCTTGCTTGTTTTATTCACTTGTTTCCTTTCAATGAAATTTAGTATACTGAAGAAAAACCTCTGGTTCTCTGGTTGAACAGGTAAACCCTAAGGCCAAGGTGTCAGTAAAACTGGTGGCTGAAGCTGGAATTGGCACTGTTGCATCTGGGGTTGCCAAGGGCAATGCTGACATTATACAGGTGTGTACTTTGACCTGTGATCCATATATTTTTTAGTGGATTCTTTATATATATTTTATTCTTTGTGAAGCATAACATATCATAATATGATCAACTTACAGATTTCAGGACATGATGGGGGAACAGGAGCAAGCCCTATTAGTTCCATCAAGCATGCAGGAGGTCCTTGGGAACTTGGGCTTACAGAATCTCACCAGGTTATAATTGAATCATGAAATTGTGTGATTAGAATTTATTTTCATCATTTTCTACCTCAAAAAGTTATATGCTATTTGATTGTGGGTTATTTTTCTTGCAGACACTTATTGAAAATGGACTGAGAGAAAGGGTTATTCTCAGAGTTGATGGTGGATTTAGAAGTGGAGTTGATGTCATGATGGCAGCAATAATGGGTGCTGATGAATATGGGTTTGGTTCAGTGGCAATGATTGCTACTGGATGTGTTATGGCCCGCATTTGCCACACCAATAATTGCCCAGTTGGTGTTGCCAGTCAGGTATTTATTAGAAGGCTGGTTTGTTATTTAGTGCTTTCATGTAATGATTACTTGTCCTTTTCCAAATAAGAATTTGTCATTACATTTCAGAGGGAAGAGTTGCGAGCTCGTTTTCCTGGTGTTCCTGGTGATCTTGTCAACTACTTTTTGTATGTAGCTGAGGAGGTATTTTGGGGCTGCTGTTGAATGTTGATATCTTTCATAGTCATCTTAATGTTCCTTATTTTGGAGTTGCTGTTATTGATTTAGTTTTCATTTACCACTTTTGAAATTTGGATTAACCAATGTTTCCCTCATCCTGTCTGGAATAAATATTATTACCTGACCAGGTAAGAGGCGTATTGGCACAGCTGGGGTATGAGAAGTTGGATGATGTGATTGGCCGGACTGACTTGTTGCAACCAAGAGACATATCTCTAGCAAAAACTCAGCATCTAGATCTGAATTATATCCTATCTGTACGGATGCTTATAATCATATATATCTTTCATTTCTATTCCTTTGAGTTAAATTACCTGCTTATCTGACTTGTGTGTGATTAACTTCTCATTTTCAGAGTGTTGGGTTACCTAAATGGAGCAGTACACAAATTAGGAATCAGGAGCCTCATACCAATGGTCCTGTTCTGGATGATGTTTTGCTAGCAGACCCGGAGGTAAAACAACTATAGGTGTTGGTATTAAAAATATTAATGCTATTCCCTTTGCAATATATCTTCTTTAGACCAGTTTGTATGTCAAGCATATACAGTGCTAAATGCTAGGACTCGCCATAGTTTCTAGTTAATTCTATCTGTTAGAAATCTTACATCAACTAAGAATAAGACCATAATAGTAGATATAAGTAGGGAGCAATCCTTATCTTAAAAGACGATTTTGTAAGGTTGAGGAGGCTTTAGTCATACTTTCTTAAAATAGTATCAGAGCCTATCATAGTGAGTGTTGTTGACATTATTAGGCTACTTTCTTAAGATCATATAATGTATATATAAGTAAGGAGCACCTCTAATTTTGAAATGTGGCTGTTTGTCCCTTTTTGATTAACTCTGACTTCTGTTTTTGATAAAATATGGAGTGAGATAAGGAAATGGTTGCATCACGTATGGGTTTTATAGGAAAATGTCATACATGAGGTAGAAATATTAAATCTGTTAGTTTTCACTTTTCAGGTTGCAGATGCCATTGAAAATGAAAAGGTGGTTAATAAGACCATAAAAATATTCAACATTGATCGTGCTGTTTGTGGACGCATATCCGGTGCCATTGCAAAGAAGTACGGTGACACTGGTTTTGCTGGACAGTTGAATATAACGTAAGATGTCCTACTTTGCAGTTTGAAATCCAATGTTTGTATTTAATCCAAAGTTAAAAATATTTTCTCCTCTGTTCCAGATTTACAGGAAGTGCTGGGCAGTCATTTGCATGCTTTCTGACACCTGGAATGAACATTCGCCTGGTAGGAGAGGCTAATGATTATGTTGGGAAGGTATCCTATTTACACTGATGTTTCACACCTGAGAACTTGTGTAGGCAATTAAACCTGAAATGCGTGACCTTGATTCATTTATTTAATGATGAAGAGTGTGAGAGCCGGTTACATGATTATTTTATCCTACTAAGTTGAGGCTCATTGTTCTGATGTTTATTTGTGACTGTTGCCAGGGCATTGCTGGTGGTGAGTTGGTTATCACTCCAGTTGACAAGACAGGGTTTGAACCTGAGGATGCAGCTATTGTAGGGAATACTTGCTTGTATGGGGCAACTGGTGGACAGGTCTTTGTTAGAGGGAGAGCTGGGGAAAGATTTGCTGTCAGAAACTCACTTGCGGAAGCTGTGGTTGAAGGCACAGGAGATCATTGTTGTGAGTACATGACTGGTGGTTGTGTGGTTATCTTGGGAAAGTGAGTAATATTTCTTTATCAAAGCTTGTACCATTCTTCTCCTCTTCCCCACCCCCCCGTGTACTTGTTCAGTGAAACAATTTGAGTAAACTGAGGCCATCACTTAATTTATACCTTGACAGAGTGGGTAGAAATGTAGCTGCTGGAATGACAGGAGGATTGGCTTACATTCTTGATGAGGACAATACTCTCATACCCAAGGTTTGCGCCAGAGGCCCATTGATCGTCCTCTCTGATTTTTTTATTACAAATGAGTGCACTGCATGGATAATTGAAATTCCCTTTTCTGGTCTGGATTCTCGTACTGCCCCTCTAATTTAAGAAAAAAAGAATGATAAATCTATGGTTTGGGAAGCATTTTCAACAGTTAAAGAAAAAATATACTCCTATATTACTGTTTGAAGATCTTCCTGATTCTCACTAGTGCCTTTGCATGAAACACCAGCTGCCTTTAAAATTTGCTTCTAACTACAGCTTGTACCAGTAATTATCTAGTTAACATGATCTTACTCTAGTGTTTGTTTACACGTCGAGTGACTCACAAGTACTTATCAATCAAGCATGTAAAATTTTCCCAACCACAGCGAAGATTTTAGACCACCCCTCCCAAAGAAGAAATCTAAATATTAACCATAATACCATTGAACGTCTTCATTTGTTCTGCTTGAATGAAACCATGCTATTTTTCTATGCTTATATCTGAATCTACTCACAGGTAAACAGAGAAATTGTAAAAATCCAACGGGTGTCAGCCCCTGTTGGGCAGATGCAACTGAAGAGCCTGATTGAAGCTCATGTTGTAAGTACCCCTATTTAAGAATTTATGCATGGGCAATCAATGTAGGAAGAATTTTATTAATGTTTTTGTATGAATTTTATATCAGTTGATTATCATAATGCTGAAATAACTTTGATCATCTGTATATGAAGGAAAAAACCGGTAGTGGCAAAGGTGCGGCTATTCTGAAGGAGTGGGACAAGTACTTATCACTATTTTGGCAGCTGGTTCCACCTAGTGAAGAGGATACCCCTGAGGCAAGTGCCGATTATGACACAACTACGGCAGAACAGATAAGTTTTCAGTCTGCCTAGGGCCACATTGCAAGGGTAGATTGATTACGCCTGGCTATGGAGCCATTGTTGTGTCCCTGCTTTGTACAGGAATGGGAGTCTCTCAATAGGGTGGATTTGCTAGCTAGCCAAAATGGGATTACACTATCCCTTGAAACCACGGTGCTACATTCATTCTCAACATCATTTTTGCCAGCTGTACGAGCCACCGGTATACATCCATCTCAAGCATTATCTCAGCTCTTGTATAGCCTTGTAATAGAAAAAACTGTAAATAAAATGCGAATCGGGTTGCTGATTTTTGTGGATGATCAAAATAAATTAGTTGGGGCCTCATATATGCCTGGCCATCTATGTACTCTAATCAAATGAAATTTTATTGTTTTCCCCTTGCACGATCAAATTGCCTTCTTTCTTGCACTTTTTCAAATAAGATGTCATTTTTTATGCGAATTACATTGCTGATAAATAGTTATGATGAATTTATAATAGCTAAGAGCAACTGTTTTAACACGTGTATTTGTAACGAGTAATATCAATGTGGAGGTAATGATGGAATACCAAGTTATAGCGTCATGTATTTCAATAAGCTAAACATATAGTCTTGAAATATTAGCTAAGGACGAAAACATTTGGGTTCCAACTTCCAATGTTCTATTTTCGAGCATGGAACGTGTTACTGTTGGTCTTGAAAATTGAAATTGTATGATGCAATGGCATGTGTGTATTTATATTATACGATTTTCGGAATAAACGAGGGACTAGTGATAATCTAGGTGCTGTACAGTAATGATACGCAATTTTTAGTTCACAGTTTGGAAGAAGAATTTAAATAGTAACTATTTTTTTTTAAAAAAAATTAAAATATTTTTGGTGTGAAATACTTTGATTATGTAGAAAATTTATAAATTTGAAATTTGAGTATTTGTGAAGTTTCTTAAAGTAGTATAATTTTAATTTCTTTTAAAAACAATTTGAAATTCTTTTTTCTCTTTTTCTTTTCTACTTCTATATTTTCTCTTTCAAAGTTAACATAAAACATATTAACAGTTTTCTTAATTATTGAATATTCAAAATTAATTTTAAAATTATTAAATATTATCTAATATTATTTTTTTTAAAAATGACTAAATATTTAAAAATTGACTAATATTTAGTTTTATAAAATTATTTTAAAATTTTAATGTATATATTTGTTTAAATTTAATTTTATCTATAGTGAAAATTAAGTTGCTTTATCAAAATTAAGAATTTAAAGTTTTAAAAATTTGATTTGACTAAACCAAACAAAAGATTTAAAGAATGATGAAAATTAAAATTAAAATAATTTAAATTTTTAAAATTTTTAAAATTTCTATCCAAACACATTGTATGATACATATAAAATACTTTAATGAATACTTAACAATATTTTTTCTTTTATGTGAAAGTGGTCTGTTTTTAAATATAAGTAGTGAATTGGATAGGGTTGATTAATTTAAGGGGAAAGGTTTAGCTCTTTTTATGAGGTAACTTTTTTTTTTATAGAAAATATAATAAAAAGAATAACAAAATTTAAGTATAATTTTTTAAGTACAGTTAGTATTTTCAATCAAGATTGAAATTTTACTTATATAATATGCACTTGCATTTAACGTAGATTTTATTAATTATATCTTTATGTATATTATCAAAGTAAAACTTTAATTTTGTTTCATTTTTTGTCTCTCTACTTTTGTTGATCTACCATTTTGGTTCTTCTATATTAAAATAGAAACATTTAGTCCTTATATTTAATATATATATATATATATATGTGTGTGTGTGTGTGTGTGTGTGTGTGAAATTTTAGTCCTATTATCAATTTGATATTCATTGATCATTAAATTTTTACATTGTTTGATGATCTGCTATTACTTAAGTAACATGATATTTAGTGACATGACATATAAGAATAAAAATTAAAAAATAACATATAGAAGATCTTTATTTGTATTTATTTTTATGAGTAATTGATATTTATTTTATTAATAAAAATCTTATTTGAATTTTTTAAAAATTTTTATTTTCAAATGTCATTTTACAAATGTCGTTTCATTTAAGTATGAGTAGATATTAAAACTTAATTATTAGTAGATGTTAATTTGACAAGATGAAAAAAATCTTGTATTTTTAAAATTAAAGAGATTAAATATCTTTATTTTAAAATATATAAACCAAAATTATGGATTGATAAAAATAGAAGGACAAAAGTACAATTTAGAGAAAAAAAATATAAAAGAATATGATACATTTGGTAAATTAATCAAATTGATAAAACACAATTTTATGGAAAACGTATTTTTTATCATTTAAATTTTTTTAGAATTCATGGTTTAAACTACTATATTTTTCTAGTTACCTTAATGTTTTTCATGTTAGTTATTTAATACTAAACTAATTAGAGTTAGCGGTAAGGACCAGAAAAGAGTTGAACATTAAGAAAATATCAAGAATTTAGGAATGATTAGAATTTTTGCAAGGGCTATAATAAGATAGCTATAGTGTAGAAACTTAAAATATATATAAGTTTAAATTAACATAAGATTTTTAAACATGTTTTATCTTTATTCACATACTTTTAATAAATTGTTATATTTTTTAAATATGACTTTTCCATAATCTTAAATATTATGTTAAGCATAAACGAAATTGGTTATACATAAATGAATAAATTTTATAATATAAATTTCTTCAACTTACGTTTAAATAATATACGTCTAAGTCTTGCTAATTTACATTTTTAAAATCTTTAAAGATTTATTTTAGTATTACTTTCGACACATAATTATGTGAGGAATTGTTCCCGAAATAATAAATATATTTCCTCTAAACCATAGTTTTTTTATGTTAATTTAAGGTTTTTGTACACCACTTAAAAAACATTTAATTTGTCACCAAAACAAAAACATTTAATACTAATATGTTAAATTTAAAGTACTTTTATTTAATATCTTGATATGTGTAGCGTTTTCAGATGCAATGTAAAATTAAGCATCCACGTATGGATCCACGTCCGCATCCAAGTGGCGTCCACGTCACCAGGAATTAACCTCGTTTAAATCATTTGGACGGAAGTCCCAAATTACAATAATTTAAATTATTGGAGACCAAATTGAAATCAAAAATTAAAATGAGACTAAATTAAAACAAAAAAATATTATAATGGATCAAATTAGGTTTTTAACCTTGAATTTTTATTATGTAATTAAAGTAAAGAAATGATGATTCTATATATAATATAATAGAGGTTAATATATTATTTTATTTTTAAATTGAACAAGTCATTAATTATTTTTGCATAGTCTATTGTATTAATTTTGTAATCAAGTAATTTTTATTTTAATAATTATTACCCTAATTTATCAATTTATCTATGAAAAAGTAAGTATTTTATGGGTTATCTATAAGGATGTAATAAGAGGGAAGGTGGATATGGGTAATAAATAGCCTTCCATTACTTGTGCTGACGGATAAATATATTTCTCATATATATTTTTATAATTGTGTAGGTATCACGATGTAGATATTCACCTTTTTTTTAATATATGTGTTATTTTTAAAATATAATTTCAAAAAAAAATTAATAATAATTTATATTTATTCTAATAATTTCTTTAAAAATAATAGTTTAAAAATCAAAACTTAAATTATTCAAATATTATACATAATTTATTAATCAAGATTATTATTTCAAAATCATAGGTTTAACAAATTCAATAAATTAAAATAATTCAATTTCACAAGTTCAAAATAAAAATT